CTGATTCTTTCATAGTGATTACGATGATTCTTACTGTAGCCACTGATTCTTTCATTATCATCAAAGGTAATTCGAGCAGGTTTCCTGGAGTAAAATGTGCTTGTTTTAGACTGAAGATTTGAGACATATGTGGCCCAACAACTTAAATGCACGAACTTCCTAAATTTGAATCTCCTTTTAGTTTCTCTACTTGCATCAGGTTTTTGTCTCCGACTCTCCTCTTGAGTGTTGATCTCAATCACCATTTGCAGGTATCTTTTCCTGTTCTTGAAGTTTGTGGCTTCGGTTATTCCAACGATTGAATATGATTACACCATGGACTTTGATCTTGGTAGCAGTAGCACCTGATTTGCAGTCAACTTCCTTCGGTCAGTAACAATGGTGTTCATTTTTTTTCCCTTAATGTGGATGTTGTATTTTTTTCAGAATATAACATGTCAACCAGTCAAATACTCTAATGACAATACCTATTTATAAATTGTACAGTGTTTATAAACGATCTTCTAGAAATGTGGAGCATGCATGATGAATTGTCAGCATGGCTTGTTTATTTTGTATATTAACAAAGAATTAAGGTTATTCAAGTTTGCACTTTGCACGATCCACTTGGAAGGCTGAAATTGTTTATTTAATAAAAGTTAACAGGATGAAAACTACAAAAATAGTAAGTGATGGTGTTTGTTTTCTGTATCAAATGTCTAGAGATTAGCATTAAATCTCCATTTTACTATTTCTCTTCATGATTCAAATATTAATAAGACTGTAAATATAGATGCATTTACACAATTTCAGTTTCATTTTTTCTTCTTACCTATCACTTGTTTTTAGTACAGTATTTTAAATGATGTAAAAGCTTTAAACTTCATATTGTATTATTATTTATAGAACTATGGATTAGTTCTAGTTGATAAGATGTTAGTAATTTGTTTGCCATACATTACTTTAGATGTTAATATTTTTTAATCATTTATTAATATGAAAAATTGAGTAGTTTAATTTAAAATTTTGAAATATTTCTTGTAAGAAGTAACTTGTTTTAAAAATATAATTTTTGTACTTTTTTCTTTATTTACAATCTTTAATATTGTTTTAAGTGAAGTAAAAAGGGAAAATTGTATGAAATAACACACTATTAATTAAACTAGTAATAGGTGGAATTTATAATTTGATAAGATATGAATGTAAAATTATAGTGATATTATCGAAGTTGTGAATGGATTAAAGTTGAATCCTTGCCTAAATATAACACCATTTTGTTAATGGGTAATCTCCCTTAGATTTCCTACCAAATTCCACCTTTGTAATAATTTGTAGAATTCAGATAACGAGACCCCTTTTCCAATGCATGCCTGAAGTCTTTTTTTTCGTGCTTTTAAGCTAAAATAGCTTTTAAATATTTTTAAGTGTTTAAATAAATTATGAGCATTTAGTTTTAAGCTAAATGATAAAAATAAATAAAAAATTATAAGTTAGAAATTCAAACTTATAGCTTTAGGATCATAAGTCAAAAGCCAATCCAAACAAAACCTTAGTTGAGAAACTTTTGGGCTATGAAATAAAGTAGAGTGACTTTCTATAAAAAGACTTTTCATAGCTGAGTGATTTTGGATTATAAAACAAAGTTAACTTTCTAGAGATGAGATCGAACCATTCATAATTGAGTGATCATCTTTGATATGATCTCTTTCTTTTTGTTTTGTCTTTGTCATTATCCAAATTGCGTGATATATGATCTTTTTTTCTTTCTGTTTTATCTTTGTCATTCTCCAAATTGCGTGATATATGATCTCTCTCTCTCAATTTTTTGTTTCTCCAGAAAACTGATGCATTAGAAAAAAGTGCAACTTTTATTGTCTATCACAATTGCTTATTGGGGTTTTGTTGTCACATTCTACACAAAAAAAAATCAAGGGGAAATTAATATCTAGAAAAGAACGTGTCATATTTTGTCCTTAATTTAAAGAAGAGATAGTGTCAAATAGCGGTGTCAATGGTATGGTTCGATCAGTTATTTTAAAAAAAAATTCTTTCGTATAAATATGTTCTTGAAGAAACACTTTAATTCTTCATCAAGAAGACAAGAATGTAAAACCTTGTTGCCGTATTGTTTGATCTTAACATTTAATAGGTTTGTTTGCATAAGTTTTGTTGTATTGTTTGATAGAGTATCTATTACAATATCTTTTAATTTTAAACCTAATTAAGTAAAGGTTAATTAAAAAGTAAAGACCCAAAGTTGTCTAGTCACTAGAGGCCTAGTAGGTTATATTTATATTTAAAAATTATTATAAAATATATTTATATGTTAAATTTAACATATTGTTAATATATAAAATATATTTATATACATGTAAGGTTATTCCGTTAGGGTAAGATATTTTTCATTTTTTTATAAATTAAAAAGACAATCCCAGTTATTCGGGACAGTTATACACTTAAATAAAAACCTACAATTTATTGAAAAAATAACATAAATCGATTCGATTCGATCGATTTTTTGTATTCTTTTGACACCCGTCACACATTTGTTAGGAAGAACAAGAAAAAGAGAGAACCATAGGAAACATGAAAAACTAAAGAAAAAGAGATAAACCAAGTACATGAAAAACTAAAGAAAAACTAAAGAAGTGAAAAAAGGATAATTTAAGTTTGTACTAAAGAGTTTGGCTTCAAAACATATATTTTTTAGGCACAACATATTAAAAGGGACCCTCTTTAAAAATACAGATTAAAACAGATACTGCGCTTACAAATGAGCGAACAGTCCCTTACACGTCCGTCTACTTTCACTATAAAATAAAGAGATAAGTATTGAAAATACCCTTAAACTTAGAGGGAATTATTACCTTAGTCCTTTTCAACTATTAACAGACTTAAAAATACCTTTATACTTGATTAAGTAATTTTAAAACACCCCTCTTGGACGTACTTGGGTAGGGTTGGATGGGGTAATAAAAAAAATATTTTTTAAAAAAAGAAAAAAAACATTCTTTTTTTCCTCGTTAATTATTAATTTCTTAGCATTTAATTATTTAAATGCTTTAAATATTTATTTTATTATATATCTATTTGTATGTCATATCAATAAAATATTCCACATATATGCTTATGTGGATGACAAGTGGCATAAGAGATGTTTTTAAATTACTTAATCAAGTAGATGAGTATTTTTGAGGCTGTCAATAGTTGGAGAACTAAAGTAATAATTCACGCCAAGTTAAAGGGTGTTTTCAATACTTATCTCGATAACACAATTTTTTTAAGGGGTTTGTCCATAAATGAATGAACTACAATTTTTTTTTTAGATTTCACGTGAAGAAATCTTTGTTCAAAATTTTAAGACTTTGTCACGTCTAGTTTGATACATAGAATCGTGAGCTTCTTTAATAATAGTATGTGTTACATTTTCTCATTCATCCTTTATCTTCTTCTACTAATATAATATTTTGATCTTTAAAAATTGATAGTCATGTCTGAACATTCGGAAGGTTTGTATATTCAATTGAACTAGATGTATGTAAACAATGGCGGACCCAGGATTTTCGTTCAGTGGGTTCAAAAAATAAAAGTATAAACGTGTAAATAAGCCAACAAAATAAAATTTCAAGAAAGTAGTAGTATATAGTTTTAGTGGTGGACCCTTGAATTCTTTTGGATTTAACACCACATTTTAGCATGTTTTATAATTTTTTTTTAAAAAAAAAACGTGAAAACCTGAACTGGAACTAAAAAAAAGAAAAAAAAGAAAGAAAACTGAAACTAAAAAGGTAATAAATAAAATGCTAATCCAGGGATTCGAACCCTCGACGTTACACTTAATTTTGAAGGAAGCTACGCTGGGCTATATCTTTCACCTTGTCATTGAGGAGGTTCAAAATATATATATCTACATTATAAATCCAGAAAATTTACCTTATATATACAGTGTAATTTTTTATCGAGGGGGTTCGGGTGAACCCCTGGACGACATGTGGGTCCGCCCCTGTATGTAAATGCAAATAGTATTGTATAATGAAAACCTCAAGCATGCCATCATTCTCGGGCTATTTGGAATTCAAATCTGAAAACAAATTAACAATACTCTAAAAACAATGACCTGCTCGATGCTTTCATTTTACAATACTCTTCGCATTTACATACATCCGCTTCAATTGAAATATATACCTTTTAAATTGTTGAGACATGAATATCAATTTTCGAAGATCAAAATATTATATTAGTAGAAGAAGATAAAAGATGAAAAAAAATGTGTAATGAATAAGAGCACATATTTGTGTTTGTATTTGATATTATTGTGTAAGTAGACAGACGTTAACTAATAAGGGACAATTCACTCATTCGTGGGAGAAATTAATGTCCATTTTGATCAATATTTTTAGTGATAATCCCTTTTAATACTCATTCTGTCTAATAATAGTTGTCCACTATACTATTTTGGGATATTCAATAATAATTGTCTACTTTATAAATTCAGTGGATAATTTTTCACTCAATTCCTAATTTACTCTTATAATTAATTATAATTATTTCCCTATTACATTTTTTAAGACATTGTATTTACTACACTCTATAGCCCTAATTATTTGTCCACTTTTGAATTGACACACTCATTAAGAAAACAATGATTAACATAATAAATTTACCATTTTTTCCCTATTAATTATGAAGTGGATGAATTAAAAACTTAAGATTTTTAAGTTCTTTTTTCAAAGTAATTAATTGAGTGTATAATATGTAAATTTTTTTGTCCTTTCTTGATTTGTCAAAATAGACAAATAATTAGGGACAACTAATAAAAGGAAAAGTGAACAAGTAATTAGGGACCGAGGGAGTATATTTAAAGATTGATATAGTAAAGTTTCTCTTCTATTTATAATTTCTTAAAAATGTGCAAAGTCAATAGTTGATAAATATTATTGGACAAAAGGAATATTGTACTAATTACTATAAAGTAGCTGAGCATCTCATCCTCAAAATAAAAGAATCAAAATTATTTAGTCATGCAGACTACAAGTCTCTCCCAATTCAACATTCCATCACCTCCCCCTAAAACCACCATACTCCATCGCAAAACCACCTCATCACGGAGGTTATCTCCGATCTTTGCAGTGGCTTCAACCACAGCTCCTCCATCACGCCACCAGGTTACTCACTCAATGCCACCGGAAAAAATTGAAATCTTTAAGTCATTAGAATCTTGGGTTTCCGAAAATATCCTCCCACTCCGCAAGCCCGTAGAGAAATGTTGGCAGCCAATTGAATTTCTTCCCGATCCATCTCAAGGGCCCGATGTATTCGTGGAAGAAGTTCGGGCCCTAAGGCAGCGTGTTTTAGGGCTTTCGGATGAGTATTTGGTTATGCTTGTGGGTAATATGCTAACTGAGGATGCCTTGCCTACCTATCAGACTTTCATTAATACGTTTGATGGAGTACGCGATGAGACTGCATCGAGCCCATGTCCATGGGCAATTTGGACTCGAGCATGGTCCGCTGAGGAAAATCGACATGGTGATTTGCTACGGACGTACCTTTATCTTTCAGGGAGAGTCGATATGTTGATGGTTGAGAAAACACTTCAGTACTCTATTGGAGCTGGAAGTGTAAGTGTTGCTTTGTGCATTTTTATAAAGATGTCCTTATAAAATGAAATAACCTAAGTCTATATACTGAGAATGTGATATATTTCATTGCACTCTTAGTGAGAGGCGGAATCAAAATTTCAGTTTTATTGGTTCAGAATGTTTAAAAATGGATACTTCAAGCGTTAATAACTGAATTCGAAATTAAAACTTATACATATTTAATGAATTTGTTAACACAAATATACTATTTGAGGAAAAGCTAATAGGTTTGGTCGAACCCGCATCCAGGTGTAGACATTGAAATTTTGTTGGACTCTACAAGACGTGTTCAATTCTAGTTGGGAGTTTAATATGTGTTCAATTCCAATTAGGATTCTTGGAGACTAAACCATAAACCCTAGTTCATGTCTATATAAAGGGTACTATATTCTCTTGAAAAGACATCTCGAATATTCCACAAAAGTCATGGAATAATCATATAGAGGTCAAATCTAAATTATCCTAGTTCAAGAAATACGCCACTAACGACCCTTGAATCATGGATAAATCTTAGGAGAGTAGAATCAAGGGAGGAACAGAATTGTACTCGCAATCTTTATCAATAAAATTATGTTTCTTCTTATTTTATTGTGGTTACAATTTATTGTCTGTCACTTTAAAATTTGTTGCAAACACCAGATTTCTAGCTCCGCCCCTGCTATCTGTGTATATAAATATTTAATAATTTAGATAGTCGTCATTCATTTTTTAAATTCTTTTAAAAGAAGTAAAAACCATTAATTAAATGTTCTTTGCCTCTTTACCAGAAGTAAAAAATATTAATTAAATTTTTAATTGACTATTTTTTTTGATTCCAAAACCAGTGATGTTTTTAGTTTGGCACATTCTAAAGAAATTATTCTTTTAAAAAAAAATGAAATTGGCATCCCCAAAAGGTTGGGGACCTTGTCGTTAGGGGGCTGGCTTGACCCTTGGCTTGCTCATTCAATCAACTCAAATCTTAAGAAATTACATATTCCTAAGAAAATAAGGAATGTATTTATTTACTCCTAAATAACAAGTATTTGTACCCCTAATTAATTCAAAGACTACTTATTCCAATAATTCATTTTAACCATGTAATACATGGTCTTTGAATTTGTAATATTAAAGTTGTGTATGAAATCTACTTTTTGAAATTTACATAGTATATATAAGTTGATCATCGATCTTAGGATGTTGGAGCAGAGAACAATGCATATATGGGCTTTGTGTACATCATTTCAAGAGCGAGCAACATTTCTAACACAGGTAATATGGCTAGGCTAGCTATAAAAGATGGAGATCCCGTGCTAGCGCGTATATGTGGAACCATTGCAGCGGATGAGAAGCGACATGAGAATGCCTACACAAGAATTATTGAGAAGTTACTAGAAGTAGACCCAAATACGACTATGCAAGCTATTGCGAGTATGATGAGGAAGAGAATTACTATGCCACTGCACCTCATGTATGATGGGCAAGATCCCAATTTATTTGAACACTTCTCCGCTATTTTTCAAAAACAAGACGTTTATACATCTCGTCATTATGCTGAAATATTAGAATTTTTCATAACAAGATGGGAATTGGAAAAGCTTGAAGGATTGACGGAGGAGGCGAAACGTGCACAAGATTTTGTGTGCCAGCTTCCACGTAAGATTAGGAGGTTGGAATATCGAGCTAAGAAATTAGAGTCACGTCAGGTGAAGTTTAGTTGGATTTTTAATAAGTCATTGAGTGTTTAGATGTATTGATTTGTAATAAGGATGTTAAACTTTTTTTTTTGATAAACTAATAATAAAAAAAGACGTTAAGTAAAATGTATTCTTTCACTAATAATAGTCTTTCTGGCTCAGATACTAAAATAAACTTGTTTCGAGTGAATGCGGTATTTAACTAATTAAATCATTTTAAGAAATATTGTTGTTATTAGTTTGTGTTTGGTCAATATTTTCAAAGTGCTATGAAATTTCAAATTATGAAAAAATATAGTTGCTACCGATTAATTTGAAAAATATAAAATTTTGATATGAGTAATCTTGTTCTAAAGAAATTAAAAGCACTTATATTTGGAAGAACCTATGTTTGTTAACTTAACTTTACTTCAAAGAGTAATCTTGTTCTAAAGAAATTAAAAGCACTTATATTTGGAAGAACCTATGTTTGTTAACTTAACTTTACTTCAAAGCTTCACTGAAACAATTTTTACTATTACTTAAAATAACTTAATTTTATTAATAACATGGCGAAACACTTCTATTCTCTAAAATAAAAGATCTTTTTACCCTTTTAAAAAAATAAATAAATACTTTGAACGTTTCAAAAACTTGAAAAAATATCTATAATTAAGCAAGGAAAAAAAGAAATTGATGGTAATAAAAGGGCCAAATTCGTCAAATCACGCAAATTATTTTTATAGAGAGCTACTGTATTTGTATGTCTATACCATACATACTTTGTCAGACAAAAATGCCCCAAAGCATCAGTAGCAGAGCCAGGAATTTCGCCAAGGGTGTTCAAACTTTAAAAGAGTCGATAATTTTTTTTTAGCGGAGCAGCTACACAAAACATTTTATTTTACTGATGAGTGGGTGCACCCAAATTTAAAAATTAAATTACATATCACTTAATAACTAAATCATACAAAAACTTAAAATTATAAAACTATCAATGGTATAAAACAAAACTAATGGACAAAAGTCAACAAAAACAATTTTAGCTACTAGTTGAATATACTCCCTCTAGTTCATATTAAATAAATTATTGAGACTTTTTTCGTGATTCAAATAACTGAATGTTTCAAAGTTTGAGAGAATTATCGAAACGTTTTTCCATATTTACCTTTTGTTTTAGTAAGATTCTTAACTATTTTACATTTTCTAAAAAAATAGTTTAGAAATAATCAAAAGTATAATAGTGGATAATAATCTTTAATTTTATCTTTAAATTTTTTTTCTTGAAAATGTGTATACCTAATAATTCACTTAATACAAGTAAAAAATATATAGAAAAAAACAAAATCTTAATTATTAGATTAATCAATTTAAGGCTAGAAGATACGGGGCAACTATTTCTGTATTTTTTTTTTTGTTTAAAAAGAGATTGTTAAAAAAACGCAGCAAGTGAGGATTTGTTTTTTTTTTTTTGGTTTAAAAAGAGAGTGTGTTTAAAAAAGCGCTGCAAGTGAGGATCGAACCTCAAACCTCTTACACATAAATGAAAAGAGTGTATTTTAAAAAAAAACGCTACAAGTGAGGATCGAACCTCAGACCTCTTACACATAAATGAAAAGAGTGTGTTTAAAAAAAATGCTACAAATGAGGATTGAACCGCTGACCTCTTACTCATAAATGAACACGCTTACCACCAGACCACTAACCTTTGTAATATTTTAGGGTGTTCAATTAATTATATATCCAGTTATTACACAGTATTTTACCTATATACACGGTATAATTTTCCGGTGAAGGGTGTTCGGCTGATCACCCTTTCATACCTGTAGCTCTACCCCTGCAAAGTATAGGACATGTGTGGCGTTTTAATAAAAGATGCTTAGTTATCAATACGTTATCCTATTTCAGATCATTTTCTATCATTACGTAACACATTATGACAACTCTTAGTTTATGATACTCTTATTTTTAGCTACTTAAATCATCAAGATCAGTAAACAACTTTTTCATTGTCATGATTATTATCTCATTCAATGCTACAATTCTATAGTTAAATCATAAAATCAACAACAATCTATAATAGTTGGCTTAGGATATTTTTAAGATCAACACCCGAATTATATGTTCGTATTCGTAGGCCTAATTATGTTATCTCTCTCGACCCCGCGATGTAGAACATGTCACTTACCAAGTCTAAAGAGAAGAGTAAATCATAAACTACCTCGAAGATGAATAATTGCCCCAATGATTTAAAAAAAAATAAAAACTTTTTTTTTGTTCCTCCTATTTATTTGGTTGGTGTTATGTTAAATTTGTGTATGAAATTTGCTACTATATCAGAATTTGTTCGCATTATACATAACTCTTTAGAAAAGCCTACTATGTTTAAGACAATAAAATGATGTGAATGATCACATTCAAACATTATATAATCATTTTGTCTCTCTAGTTGACAATGTTGTACTTACTCATACAATTCCTTTATCTCGTCCTTCGGATGATGCATAACTGACACAAGGTATATATATATATTCATTATGTAATTAATTTATCTGTTTGAAATAAAATACAACCTATAACACAAAGACATGTAAATTAAGATGAACTTAATTATTATTTGAGATAGATCCTAGAATCCTCTCAAAATAATATAAGAACACTGAATGAGTGGAAGAACAACGACAATTACCAGACTTAAAAACCAGGCAAGTAATTAATGTTCTTTATACACAATAAATTGTGGATGTCCATATAATATTTCAATAATTTTATGAAAAAGCTTGCAAATAAATAAGTGGCTTCAAGTACGTAATTGCATGCAAACAACTTACATTTAGCTTTGAAAGACTTGCAATTAGATAAGTAGCTCATACAGGGAGGTAGCTTAAAAGTATTGATAGAGACATGAAATTTAAAATTTGTGAATTTTAAATTGCCATCACATTCATAGCTTATCTTAATTATTTCTTTTCACAATTAGATATTTATACATATATATTTTAAAAAAAATATAAATACAAAATTTAAATAAACTATTGAGTTTCAAATCCCCAAGTATCTTTCAAAGATTTACAATTAAATAAGTAGCTCGCAAGTAATTTATACATATATCTCGAAAACAATCTCTAAAAAAACGTGCAACAAAAACACTTTTATTTAACTATCAAATTAGTAGTTTTGGAGTAAGTTCAATCTACACATAAAATAGATGGTATTTTACCAGATTAGGTGCGAAAGAAACAAATAACATTGGGGGTAAAGCGCTCCCCGACAAAGGTGACCCTGTACCCAAGAGGGCTCAAACCTGAGACCTCTTGGTTAAGGATGAAGGAGTACTTACCACTCCACCACAATCCTTGTTGGTTTCACATTTTCTCTACTTGAACCTCTTTACTTTCAACTTTGAGATTCAAATTACCAAATTTTGCCCATGAATACGGACATAGAAACTAACTTTTCTAAAATAAAATTTATATATTTAAAAATAACGTAAAAAGTATGTATATGTTATAAATGTTGGAAAACTATATGCACAACGTAATCATATCTTAATCTTATTGCTTACATGAATAATAGATAACCAAATCGTTTATGCTAGAACACATAATCATGCTAGAACACATAAACTTGCTGAAATTTAGTTCAAGAATTACCTCTTGAAGCGTGAGCATCTACCTTCAAGTGAATCCCCTAGTTAGACAGTCCTTCAAGCGAATCCACAAAACAGACACCAGCTATGCGGTCTTCTACAATGATCCCAAGTTCACATCCGAACTCTCTCAATACTTGGGTGGATAGGTATCGAATTGAAAACCTTCAATCTCTTTTCTAGGTTAGGAGAATCCCTACTTATAGAGATTTCTTCAAATCAAAAGAAGAGAACAAAACACAGTCTTTTTTAAAAGACACGCTTGTTTTCTTTTAAAACCAAACTCACGCCTGATTCTTCTTCTCCCTTAGAAATAGGATTCTGAGTTCTAGTTAATTATGAGCACGGTAGGAACCACAAAATTAATTACTGAGGCTTCCTATTATGAAAATAATTCTAAATTATTAATTTGAATTATTCTTACCATAATAAATTACAAATCATTCCACTAGAAATTCGTAATTGCACTCCTCTATTTATATTTCGAAATTCCCCATTAAACACTTATGTAATTCCCCACGTTAAGATTGCAGATATTAATCAATAAATTAAATTACTGACTAATTTAATTCAATGATTAATTTCCTTTAGAGCACTACTTAACTTATTTCATGTGTCAGATTCATAAATCCACTTGCAAGGTTTGACACGATGAAAACTTATAAGTTTCTCAAAAAGGCATATCAATCAATCTCTATAACGAGACATGGATTCCATCAACTAACTTATTATTTCACCAATATATATTATTATCATCCAATCTATCAGGCATATTGACCCATCTCAGAATCTCACCTTTTAATAAATCAAAACGATAATTAATATATACATATCATAATAGTTATATCAGGATTAAGAATATAAGTACATTTAACAGTTTAGAGAATATGTTTTTGTCAGCCAATCTAAAACAACTATCTCTACTCGGTCCCGTTCAATACATTAAAATGCACTAGCACAAGAAGTTGGAACTATATCATTTCCATAATCAAGATAAATTACATATAATCTTGTGCTACAATTGTACCGATGACATGTCCAATTTCCATCCTAGATTGTGAACAAAAAATTTTATACTTATAAGAACCGATGATTTAACCCTCTGTGCATAAGCTAAAACTCTACACACTAAATCATCTACTATATAAGTAAACAGACACCATAAACGAATATATGGTCTATTAAAACTGAGCAAATATTTATTCTATAATAAATATTATATCTTAACATATGGTTATAATAGTATATATCCCAACAATCTCCCACTTAGACTTTCAACCATCACAATTGTTATAATGTACTATATCTAAATGCATGGTTAATAGTATATACCCTAACAATCTCCCACTTAGATATTTAATCTTGAAAATTGTTAGAATACTATGTCTAAACATATGATTAATAGTATATACCCTAACAATAA